CGTATTGGGACGTACACACAGCAGCTACAGTGCGCACCTTCCAGAGTCAGTAGGATGATACACTAGTATGGTAACTGTGAAGCTGACTTACCGTACACAGTGGGCTTTATCAAGTTACAAACAGATCTAAATGGGTAAAGAGTACACGATGCCCCGTGGCCTGGTGGCTAAGGCTCTCACTTCACACGGCGAGGGGTCCGGGTTTGATTCCCGGCGAGGGTAGAAACATTGGGCGTGCTTCCTTACACCGGTTGTCTATGTTCACCATCAGTACCTGAGTGTTAGTCGACTGGTGTGAGTCGCATCCTGGGACAAAAACTGACCTTATTTGCGGGAAATACTCAGCATAACAAACGGCTTTCTATATAGTAGTATGTCATTGATGTCAGCTATGGTGTGTATACCTTGTACATGTACTGGTAGAAATAATTATGTATAGTGTGTTGAGTCAGGTGGAGAATGTTGGGTAGGTTGTATATGAGACAGCTCTCTCATATACAGCCGTGGGGGGCGTTGACCCCTGGAACACCCTCCAGGTATACATTGTGACTTACTGGAGTGACATGAGAGGAAGTGTGGGATAAACCCAATGAAGAGTAGTGAAGACAGGAATACAGTTAGAAAATACTGTGTGAGCATGCGTGGCCCTAGACTCCTCAACACACTAACAACAGGGTATCAGAAATACTGCCGGGATGAAGGTAGAGGTTTGCAGGGAGCTGGAAAATTTTCTATTGCAAGTGCCGGATCAACCAGGTTGTGTGGACCTGTGTGCCGCTAGATCAATCAATCTGGTTGACTAGGTGGTCAAGCCCCACCAACCATGACCTGAGGACAGGCTGTGGGGGTCAGAAGAACTGGAGAAACCAGTCACAGGTAAAACACAGGTCAGGAGCACAAGTAACCTGTTTACAAGATATTGTCAACAACCTTGATGGTAAGAAAGATCATCCCATCACTGTTGAAGGATTCCCCCTTTGTCGGGGATAACTAAATACTGCTGAGTAGGTGGGTGAGTGAGTGAGTGGGTGGGTGAGTGGGTGAGTGAGTGGGTGGGTGAGTGAGTGGGTGGTGAGTGAGTGAGTGGTGGTTGAGTGGGTGGTTGGGTGGGTAGTGGGTGGTTGAGTGGGTGGGTGGGTGAGTGAGTGTGTGGGTGAGTGGGTGGATGAGTGGGTGAGTGAGTGGGTGAGTGAGTGGGTGGTTGAGTGGGTGGGTGAGTGGGTGAATGAGTGGTGGGTGAGTGGGTGGGGGAGTGGTGGGTGAGTGGGGGGTGAGTGGGGGGTTGAGTGGGGGGGTGAGTGAGGGGTGGTTGAGTGAGTGGGTGCGTGGGTGGTTGAGTGGGTGGGTGGGTGAGTGAGGGTGGGTGAGTGGGTGGGTGAGTGGTGGGTGGGTGAGTGAGTGGGTGGTTGAGTGAGTGGGTGGTGAGTGAGTGGGTGGGTGAGTGTGGGTGAGTGGGTGGGTGAGTGAGTGGGGGGGTGAGTGGGTGGGTGAGTGGGTGGTGAGTGGGTGGTTGAGTGGGGGGGTGAGTGGGTGGTTGAGTGGGAGTGGTGAGTGGGTGGGTGAGTGGGGGGTGAGTGGGTGAGTGAGTGGGCGGGTGAGTGGGGTTGAGTGAGTGGGTGGGTGAGTGAGTGGGTGGGTGAGTGAGTGGGTAAGTGGGTGGGTGAGTAGGTGGGTGAGTGAGTGGGTGGGTGAGTAGGTGGGTGAGTGATGGTGGGTGGGTGAGTGATTGGTGAGTGGATGGTTGAGTGGGTGGGTGAGTGAGTGGGTGGGTGGGTGAGTGGTGGTGAGTGAGTGGGTGAGTGAGTGGTTGAGTGGGTGGGTGAGTGGGTAGGTGAGTGGGTGGTTGAGTGGTGAGTGAGTGGGTAGGTGATGAGTGGGTGGGTGAGTGGATGGGTGAGTGGTGGTGAGTGGGTGGGGGAGTAGTGGGTGGGGAGTGGGTGGGTGAGTGAGTGGGTGGGTGAGTGGGGGGGTGTGGGTGTGAGTAGGTGGGTGAGTGAGTGGGTGGGTGAGTAGGTGGGTGAGTGATGGGTGGGTGGGGGAGTGAGTGGGTGGTGTGAGTGAGGTGGGTGAGTGAGTGGGTGGGTGGGTGAGTGGGTGGGTGAGTGGTGGTTTGAGTAAGTGGGTGGGTGAGTGGGTGGGTGGGTGAGTGAGTGGGTGAGTGAGTGGGTGGGTAGTGGGTGAGTGAGTAGGGGTGTGAGTGAGTGGTGAGGGAGTGGGTGTGTGGAGTGGGTGGGTGATGGGTGGGTGAGTGGTGGGTGAGTGGTGGGTGAGTAGGTGGGTGGGGTGAGTGGTGGGTAGTGGGTGGGTGTGAGTGGAGGGTGGGTGTGGGTGATGGGTAGGAGTTGGGTTGGTGAGGGTGGGTGAGTAGGAGTGGGTGGTGGGTGTGAGTTTGGGTGGTTGATTGGTGGGGTGTGAGTGAGGGTTGGGTGGGTGGTGATGGGGAGTGTGGTGGGTGATTGGGTGGTGAGTTGTGGTGGGATGGGTGGGTAGGGTGGGTGGGGGATGGATGGGTGGTGAGTGGTGGAGTGAGTGTGGGGTGTGAGTGAGGGGGTGAGGGGTGGGTGAGTGATGGTGGTGATGGTGGTGAGTGGAGTGGGTGAGTGAAGTGTGGTGGAGGTGAGTGTGTGGTGAGTGGTGAGTGGGTGGGTGAGGAGTGGTGGTGGTTGAGTGGTGGGTGGGGAGTGGGTGAGTGGGTGGTGAGTGGGTTGGGAGAGTGGTGGGTGAGTGAGTGGGTGGTTGGGTGGTGAGTGAGTGGTGGTGAGTGGTGGTGATTTAGTGATTGGTGAGTGTGAGTGGTGGTGAGTGGGTATTTAGTGTGGTGAGTGGTGGGTGAGTTGGTAGTGAGTGGGTGGTTTATGGGGGGTGGTGGGTGAGTGGGTGGGTGAGTGAGTGGGTGAGTGGGTGATGGATGGGTGGTGAGTGAGTGGGTGGTTGATGAGTGGGTGGTATGGTGGGTGAGTGGAGTGGTGGTGAGTGATGTGGTGGGATGAGTGTGGTGAGGTGGTGGTGGGTGAGTGGTGGTGTGAGTGAGGGTGGCTGTGGGTGAGTGATGTGGTGAGTGGAGTGATGGTGGTGATGGTGGGTGATGGGTGGTGAGTGTTGATGGTGGGGGGTAGTGGGTGGTGGGAGTAGTGTGGTTGATGGTGGGTGGTGTGATGAGGTGGGTGAGTGAGTGTGTGGTGAGAGGGTGGTTGATGGGAGTGAGTGGGGGGGAAGGGGGGTAGTGATGGGTTGAGTGGGTGGGGTGATGGGTGGTAGTGATGGGTTGGTGGTTAGTGTGTAGTTGGGATGGGTGAGTCTGGTGTGGTGAGTGTGTGGGTGAGTTGGGGAGGTGGTCGATATGGTGGTCGAGTTGTAGTGATGTGATGGTTGTAGATTTGATGTGAACATCAAACTCTGCACCTGACTCAGTATTAAGCTGAGGGCAACCTTCCCTTGCCAATTCCTCAGCTATGTTTTATTACCACTACGACCAACCACTACCACTACGACCACCACCACTGCGACACCACTACGACCACCACTACCACTACGACCACCACTACCACTACGACCACCACTACCACTACGACCACCACTACCACTGCGACCACTACGACCACCACCACCATTACCACTACCTCACCACTACCACCACCACAAAACCCCAAACCTAAACAAAAACCCAAAGCATTAACCCAAAACAAAAAACCCCCCCCCCATACAAAAACCCCGGGGTAAAAAAATGCCCCCCAACCCCCACTTTCCCCCCCCCCCCCCCCCCAAAAAAAACCCCCCCCAAACCCCCCCCCCCCCCCCACCCCCCCTACCCCCAAAAAAATTTCCCCAAAAAAACCCCCGCAAAAAAAAAAATAGCCCCAAAAAAAAAACCCCCCCCCAAACCCCCCCCAAAAACCCCCCCCCCCCCCAAAAAACCCCCAAATTTTTTTAAAAAAAAACCAAAATTTTTAAAACAATTTACCCCCACAAAATAAAAAAATGCTTGAATAAGAAAAAATTTTTTAAAAGGAAATGTGGAAAAAGCCACACGTTTGGTTTAAAACCCCCAAAAGCCCTTGCCTCTGGGTTTCCCCCCAGCAAATTTAAAAACCAAAAAATGATTTCAAATTTAAAAAAACAAAATTTAAAAATTTGAATGGTTGTAGAATGGATTTATTTATAAGTTATTATTATTTTATTGTTTGGGGGGTATTTTTTTTTATGAGGGGGGTAGGGGTAGGGGCCCCCCACCAACCCCTCCACCTACCAACCCCGAGGTCAAACCCCCTTGCCAAAACCCCCAAAATTTTAAAACCCCCCCTCCCACCCCCCCCCCCCAACGACCACCACAACCAAATGCCCCCACCACTACCCACCACAACCACAACGACCCCCAAACTACCACAACGACCCCCACTCCCCCTTACGACCCCCAAACTACCCGCACCACTACAACCACCACCCCCATTCCCAAACTACCCCACCACCACCACCATACCACCACCACCACCACCACCCCCAAACCCCCACCACTACCACCACCACCACACCACCACCACCAAAACCACCACCACCACCACCAAAACGTTGTCTTTTTAAAACAAACCATTATACGGGGTCCTTATATCGGGATTTCCCACCCCCACAAAACATACAATAAAATTTCACCTGACTGTGAGATTTTGGATATAGAATTTAAAAGCAGCTGACGTGAGGGAATACGGGCCAAAACTTTTTTTGGTTTGAAAGACCTGCTTATTATGGGCCAAAAAGCCTGCTGCAGTTTTCCCTCCTTTCAAAATGTTTTTTAAATTGCAATAAGATCACAATAAACAGGTGATTTCAGAATATGAAAAATCCACTGTTCTTAAGTATATTAGAAGTGGTTGTATTGTAAGTGATTGTATGGCCTCTTAAGTATATTATTAGTTATTATATTGCCTTTTAAGTGTATTTCAAGTGGTTGTATGGCCTCTTAAGTGTATTTGAAGTGTATTGACTCATGTATTTCTTGGTTGCAGGTGAGTGACGCATCATTACCCTGGTTGACATCTCATCTGCCTCACATAAGTACCAATGTTATTGTCTTGTCTAGAGTGTAAGTCCTTTCTAAGTTCTCTTTTCTGTGTAGACCTGTCTGCCACTAGTACCAACAGCCTGGTGGACCAGGCGGTCTGACATGGGAAGCTTGGCCCTAGGCTGGGCTGCCAGGCTGGAAAGAAACCTCGGGAGACGGCTGAGAGGTTTCCGTACTGGTTCTTAAAATTAAGTCGAGGCAAAAATTTGAGGAGCAGCACTTAGACTGGCTCGTCAGGATGGGTGCATAAAATTATTACGTGAAGTCTTCAGTACATTTTGATATTACGTGAGAGATTAAGTGAGATTTAAGTGTACGTAGGGGTAAGTGAGATTTAAGTGTACGTAGGGGTAAGTGAGATTTAAGTGTACGTAGGGGTGAGATTCAAGTGTACGTAGGGGTAAGTGAGATTTAAGTGTACGTAGGGGTAAGTGAGATTTAAGTGTACGTAGGGGTAAGTGAGATTTAAGTGTACGTAGGGGTAAGTGAGATTTAAGTGTACGTAGGGGTAAGTGAGATTTAAGTGTACGTAGGGGTAAGTGAGATTTAAGTGTACGTAGGGGTGAGATTCAAGTGTACGTAGGGGTAAGTGAGATTTAAGTGTACGTAGGGGTAAGTGAGATTTAAGTGTACGTAGGGGTAAGTGAGATTTAAGTGTACGTAGGGGTAAGTGAGATTTAAGTGTACGTAGGGGTAAGTGAGATTTAAGTGTACGTAGGGGTAAGTGGAAAAGTGGGCTTTAAGTGTTTGTGTGTGTACTCATCTATTTGTGGTTGCAAGTGTCGAGTCATAGCTCCTGGCCCCCACCTCTTCCCTGGTCGTTACTTGGTCCACTCTCTCCCTGTTCTAAGAGCTTTATCGAACCTCTTCGTAAAGCTGTGTATGGATCCTGCCTCCACTATATCTTCTCCAGATTCTTCCACTTCCTAACAACTCTGTGACTGAAGAAATACTTCCTAACATCCCTGTAACTCATCTGAGTTTTCAACTTCCAGCTGTGACCCCCTTGTTGCTGTGACCTATCTCTGGAACTTCCTCTTCCTACCCACCTTGTCAATTCCCTCAGTATTTTATGTATTATTATCATGTCTCCCCTGTCCCTCGTGTCCTCCAGTGTCGTCAGGTTGATTTCCCTTAACCTCTCCTCGTAGGGACTAGTCTTGTTGCAAACCTTTGTACTAATTTCCTGACGTGTTTGGCCAGGTGTGGGTTCCATACAAGTGTTGCAAACTCCAATATGGGCCTGACGTACACAGTGTACAGTGTCTTGAACGATTCCTTATTAAATTACGGTGTCGGAACGCTATTCCTAGGTTTGTGTGTGTGTGTGTGTGTGTGTGTGTGTGTGTGTGTGTGTGTGTGTGTGTGTGTGTGGTGTGTGTGTACTCGCCTATTTGTGGTTGCAGGGGTCGATTCATCCACCCAACTTATAATGGATCACAATCCAGTTGAAGATTAAGACATGTGCAACAGTTGGGTATCTTTATTGTTGCAACGTTTCGCCTACACTGTAGACTTCTTCAGTCAAATACAGAGGCAGCAGGTGTAGTAGTGAAATGAAGATGATGTAATCAGTCCATCAAACTTGGAGAAAAAGGATTTGAGGTGGTCAGTCCCTCAGCATGGAGAAGAGTTTAACTCCCTGGTCATGGTTTCTCCTACTGTGTGGGCGAAACGTCTCAGCAGCAAAGATACCTAACTGTTGCTCGTGTGTCTTAATTGTTGCTATTTTATACCATTCTAAGTAAAATACTTAACTTGGACCAACCAGAGAGACGGTTCTATCACCTCTCCAATGTTCTATCACCTGTCCACTGTTCTATCACCTGTCCACTGTTCTATCACCTGTCCACTGTTCTATCACCTCTCCACTGTTCTATCACCTCAGCACTGTTCTATCACCTCAGCACTGTTCTATCACCTCTCCACTGTTCTATCACCTCTCCACTGTTCTATCACCTCTCCACTGTTCTATCACCTCTCCACTGTTCTATCACCTCAGCACTGTTCTATCACCTCAGCACTGTTCTATCACCTCTCCACTGTTCTATCATATCTCCACTGTTCTATCACCTCTCCACTGTTCTATCACCTCAGCACTGTTCTATCACCTCTCCACTGTTCTATCACCTCAGCACTGTTCTATCACCTCTCCACTGTTCTATCACCTCTCCACTGTTCTATCACCTCTCCACTGTTTCTATCACCCTCTCCACTGTTTCATCACCTCAGCACTGTTTCTATCACCTCAGCACTGTTCTATCACCTCTCCACTGTTCTATCATATCTCCACTGTTCTATCACCTCTCCACTGTTCTATCACCTCAGCACTGTTCTATCACCTCTCCACTGTTCTATCACCTCTCCACTGTTCTATCACCTCAGCACTGTTCTATCACCTCTCCACTGTTCTATCACCTCAACACTGTTCTATCACCTCTCCACTGTTCTATCACCTCAGCACTGTTCTATCACCTCTCCACTGTTCTATCACCTCAGCACTGTCTATCACCTCTCCACTGTTCTATCAACCTCTCCACTGTTCTATCACCTCTCCACTGTTCTATCACCTCAGCACTGTTCTATCACCTCTCTCCACTGTTCTATAACCTCTCCACTGTTCTATCACCTCTCCACTGTTCTATCACCATCAGCACTGTTCTATCACCTCTCCACTGTTCTATCACCTCAGCACTGTTCTATCACCTCTCCACTGTTCTATCTCACCTCTCCACTGTTCTATCACCTCTCCACTGTTCTATCACCTCAGCACTGTTCTATCACCTCTCCACTGTTCTATCACCTCTCCACTGTTCTATCACCTCTCCACTGTTCTATCACCTCTCACTGTTCTATCACCTCTCCACTGTTCTATCACCTCTCCACTGTTCTATCACCTCTCCACTGTTCTATCACCTCTCAACTGTTCTATCACCTCTCCACTGTTCTATCACCTCTCAACTGTTCTATCACCTCTCCACTGTTCTATCACCTCTCCACTGTTCTATCACCTCTCCACTGTTCTATCACCTCTCCACTGCTCTACCACCTCTCCACTGCTCTATCATCTCTCCACTGCTCTACCACCTCTCCACTGCTCTACCACCTCTCCACTGCTCTACCACCTCTCCAACTGCTCTACCACCTCTCCACTGCTCACCACCTCTCCACTGCTCTACCACCTCTCCACTGCCTACCATCTCTCCACTGCTCTACCACCTCTCCACTGTTCTATCACCTCTCCACTGCTCTACCACCTCTCAACTGTTCTATCACCTCTCAACTGTTCTATCACCTCTCAACTGTTATATCACCTCTCAACTGTTCTATCACCTCTCAACTGTTCTATCACCTCTCACTGTTCTATCACCCTCTCAACTGTTCTATCACCTCTCAACTGTTCTACCACCTCTCAACTGTTCCACCACCTCTCAACTGTTCCACCACCTCTCAACTGTTCCACCACCTCTCAACTGCTCTACCACCTCTCCACTGCTCTACCACCTCTCCACTGCTCTACCACCTCTCCACTGCTCTACCACACCTCTCCACTGCTCTACCACCTCTCCACTGCTCTACCAGTCTCTCCACTGCTCTACCACCTCTCCACTGTACTACCACCTCTCCACTGTACTACCACCTCTCCACTGCTCTACCACCTCTCCACTGTACTACCACCTCTCCACTGCTCTACCACCATCTCCACTGCTCTACCACCTCTCCCACTGTACTACCACCTTCTCCACTTGCTCTACCACCTCTCCACTGCTCTACCACCTCTCCACTACCTACCATCTCTCCACTGCTCTACCACCTCTCCACTGTACTACCACCTCTCCACTGTACTACCACCTCTCCACTGCTCTAACCACCTCTCCACTGTACTACCACCTCTCCACTGTACTACCACCTCTCCACTGCTCTACCCACCTCTCCACTGTACTAACCACCTCTCCACTGCTCTACCACCTCTCCACTGTACAACCACCTCTCCACTGTACTACCACCTCTCCACTGCTCTACCACCTCTCCACTGCTCTACCACCTCTCCACTGCTCTACCACCTCTCCACTGTACTACCACCTCTCCACTGTACTACCACCTCTCCACTGTACTACCACCTCTCCACTGTACTACCACCTCTCCACTGCTCTAACCACCTCTCCACGCTCTACCACCTCTCCACTGCTCTACCACCTCTCCACTGTACTACCACCTCTCCACTGTGCTACCACCTCTCCACGTACTACCACCTCTCCACTGTACTACCACCTCTCCAATGTGCTACCACCTCTCCACTGTACTACCACCTCTCCACTGTACTACCACCTCTCCACTGCTCTACCACCTCTCCACTGTACTACCACCTCTCCACTGCTCTACCACCTCTCCACTGCTCTAACCACCTCTCCACTGCTCTACCACCTCTCCACTGTACTAACCACCTCTCCACTGTACTACCACCTCTCCACTGTACTACCACCTCTCCACTGTACTACCATCTCTCCACTGCTCTACCACCTCTCCACTGTACTACCACCTCTCCACTGTACTACCACCTCTCCACTGTAACTACCACCTCTCCACTACTCTACCAATCTCTCCACTGCTCTACCACCTCTCCACTGTACTACCACCTCTCCACTGTACTACCACCTCTCCACTGTACTACACACCTCTCCACTGTACTACCACCTCTCCACTGTACTACCACCTCTCCACTGTACTACACCTCTCCACTGCTCTACCACCTCTCCACTGTACTACCACCTCTCCACTGTACTACCACCTCTCCACTGTACTACCACTCTCCACTGTACTACCACCTCTCCACTGCTCTACCACCTCTCCACTGTACTACCACCTCTCCACTGTACTACCACCTCTCCACTGCTCCTACCACCTCTCCACTGTTCTACCACCTCTCCACTGTACTACCATACTCTCCACTGTACTACCACCTCTCCA